TTGAACAACAATAAAAAAATCCAAAAAAAAAGAGAGAGAGAGAGAAAATTGACCAAAGAGAATATATAGGGATTCAGTATCATTGGCCGTTAAAGAAATGGAAATGAAAAGCGCAATGATATATCACTACACACACCCATGAGAACAGCTAAATTTAAAAAAAAATCCAAAATCCTGACAAAGATGTGGACAACTCAAGCCATTTATATATTGCCGAGAGGAATATCAAAAGAGTGCAGCCACTTTGGGCAATAGTACGGCAGTTTGTTATTAAAACTATACGTACACTTACTATATGACCCAGCAATGATAATTGTGGGCATACGTCCCAGAGTCATGAGATGTTACACCTACATGAAAACCTGTACACAGCTGTGGCCAATGTGGCTCAGTGGGTTGGGTGTTGTCCCGCAGACGGAAAGGTTGACAGTTTGATTCTTGGTCAAGGCATGTGGCAGGGTTGTGGGTTCAGGTCCAGTACACAGTTGGGGCGCATGACTCTTCCCCCAAGAGTCAACTGATCTCGATATTTCTCACTTCCATGTTTCTTTACTCTCTGTCTCCCTCCCTCCCCCTCTATCTATAATCAATGAAAGAAAAAAATGAAACCTAAATCCTGAACATAAATGTCCACATAAGCTTTACATGATATTCCTACAATGGATACATACATACCATGGAGTACTACTCGGCAAGAAAACAGAATAAAAAAACAATTATGAACGCAAGCAAGAATTCAGATAAATATCAAGGGGATTATGCTGTGTGAAAATGCAATCTCAAAAATGCACCTGCTGAAATTCTTAGGATGACAGAATTAAAGAAATGGAAAACAGAATAGTGGTTGTCAGAAGTTAGGAATTAAGGCGGGGAGGGGGTGGTAAATGCATAGCATTCCCTTCAGAGGGAGGGAAGAGTCCTACATCTTTTCATTGGGGTGTAACTGAGAGACACTCCATGGGTTTCAGGTGTACAACATGCTGATTCAACATTTATACACACTACAAAGTGATGGCTACAATAAAACCACAATCTGTCACCACGCAGTGCTAATTATTTTTCTGTCATGAGATCCTTTAAAATTTACTTAGCAACTTTCAAATCTGCAATGTAGTACCATTGACCAGAGTCCCCATGCTGTGTATGACACCACCGTGATGTATTCCTTTCATATCCAAAAGTTTGTACCTCTTCACCCACTTCACCCACCCCAACCCTTTCTCTCTTGGCAACCACCCATCTGCTCTCTGTGCCTATCAGTTTTATTTGATTAGGTCTGTTTGATTATTCATTTATCTATTGATCTACTTACAGATTCCACGTGTAGGTGAAATCACACAGTGTTTGTCTTTCTCTGACTCATTTCACTTTGTATAATGTCCTCAACGTCCATCCATGTTGTGGGAAATGGCAACGTTGTATTCTTTGTATGGCTGAGTGGTATCGCATTCAATATATACATATTTCCCATCTTCTTTATCCATTCATCTATCGATGACCACCTAGGTCTTTTCCATATCTTGCCAATTGTAAATAACGGTGGACTGAACACAGGAGTGCACCTATCTTTTCAATTTAGTGTTTTCATTTTTCTTTGCGTAAATCCCCAGTAGTGGCATTTCTGGATCACATGGTCATTTTAAATGTTTCAATTACAGTTTACATTCAGTAGTATTCAGTATGTGTTTCCGATGTAGAGCAAAGTGATTAGAAAATCATGTCCTTTACAGAGTGGTCCTCCCCGCCCCCACCCCTCACTTCCAGTGCCCACCTGCTCGCATACATAGTTATCACAATATCATCAACTGTATCTGGCTATTCTGTAACGACCGATTTACACTGCCCAATCCCTGCACCTTTTCACCGGGCTCCTCAACCCCCTCCCCTTTGACAGCTGCAGTCTGTCTCTATCTGTGTGCATGCTTCTATTTTGTGTGTTTATTTTGTTCTTCAGATCCCACATCTAAGTGAAATCACCATTATGCATTTCAACTTCATCATAAAGTACATTTGCCATGCCGTTTGCATTTTTATTGGCCCAATACATGGCTTTGTCTTTCAAAAAATAATATTCAAAAGATACATTTTTCATTTTAAGAAGGATCAATAATCATTTCCAAGCACAAGGTCTTAAAGATATAGTGTACCCTCTAAGTTTTCTCAGGAACACACAAAGAGAGGGAAGCACCTTATAAAACACAGAATATGTATGCTATTGCAGTATCAATATGTATCCCAAACTCTCCTCTTCACTGAAACTAGCCTATGTGTATATAAATACATAAATATGATAATACTTTTACTCAAGGTGAAATATACTTTAGACTCTTTTGATCAGATGATATTAAAACTATTCAGCTTTTCACCTGTTGCCTGTGGGCTGATTTAAAATGCAATGGTTCAGCGGACTCCAGTTTTGGGCTAGATGATAAATATGTTGTTCCAGTGTTTCTAGAGCATGAAGGTTTCAGTGAACACATTCAATACCAAATGTAAAATATCAAAAGGCCTCTATTGTTGTTAATGGTTTGAGAGGCCAGAAGCTGTCCAAGAAAAAGCATCTTGCTTTGTGTCAATTTGTTTGACAAATCTGTGGAAGATAAAATCAAAGGCTTCACTCCGCATCGTCAAAATACAGCACCTGAGTCAAGCTCGAGTTTTCCAGTCAAAATTAAATAGCTATTGTCATAAGTCATTTTGGACACGGTCTAATTGCACAATACTGCCAGGAAAGCCCAGCTAATAAAGACTTGGGATAATCTGCACGTGAAAACTTAAGGCAAAATGCAAATGATCATTTGAGACGTATCACACTTTTTACAAGGCACGGTCAGAGGCAGGCTATATGAAGCACACTGTAATGATATTTCTTCATTTTTTAAACATTTCCACATAACAGCAAAGCTGGCGTTTTATAATTTCCACAGCTATAAATCACTTTAAAATCATGATGATATTCCTCAAAACAGATGTGAAAACATATGTTTGCTGCAGTTGTCTAAACTGCTTACTTGTCACACTTAATAAATGTTGAGACTCCTCCTTTAGCTGCATTCCATTTTAATAACAAAATTCTGCTTGAGGAAAATATATTTTGTCTGGCTATCACACATCTAACCGGTAGAACTTGGCATAGAAAACCTTATTTAAAAGAAAGGTTTCCCTTACAGCTGCGGTGAAGCTTAATGCGCCACTTCTACCCATTACCATCTTCAGCGCAATGCGTGACCAAGCTATTTGAAGCGAACGAAACTGTGCCATTCCACAGCAAGACATTCGGCAATGCCGGTAGACACCACTGTGTATTTTATGAAAATCAGTTCCTGTACATCTGTACAAGTGCTCCAGCTGATTTTTCATAAAACACAGCAGTATGTGCTCAGGCACGGGAGCAGCCAGGCCAGTTCTAAATGCCATTTTGACTTATGGGGGCCGCAGTTCCAAAGAAACCATATATGTGAGGTGCAGCTTTATATTTTCCTAGAAAAGCTGCTTTACTCCCAAGCTGTCCTCTAGGTGGGAAAGGGGTCTCAGGAACACACTGTTGTCAGGTGATGAATGAAGCTTCGTCTGTAACTAGAATTTCATTACCCAAGTAAGAGTCTGGCTAGTTTCACACACCGAACTTGACTTCTTCCATTCTGACCAGTCTGAAGTGAATCCTTTATATCTCAGAGCCCCAGAGGGTAAAAGTAGATTTCAAATTTAGATACAATTTTATATATATGGCATATAAAATAAAATATTCCGCATGTGGCAAGGAAACCAAACATGGATCAATGGGATTAAAATCATACAGCATTGCAAATTCTAACTAAAATGCTCAGCTTGCTTATTAGGAAGTGAGCTCAGTCTAGAGAAGAAAGAAAATTTTCTCTATTAACCTGTCAGTTCATTAAGTCTTTTATATATATAATTTATATGTATGCATAAATATATATTTATACATACCATATAAAAGATTCATATAATATCAAATATATTATATAAAATAGATGATATATAAATGTGTATAAAACACATTATATAAAATACAAAAATATTTATATAATATAAAATATATATTATATGTGAACTATATAATGTAAATATATTATATATACAATACATAATATATATTTATATGTATTACATATACTATATATTTATGTATATATATATTATTATACATATGCAATGAGCATCTTCAGTAGAGATAGAAAAAACCAGCACAGAGCGAAGTACATACAGACCATCTGATGATCAGATAGATACCATGTTAGTTTATGTTCTTTTGCTTAGAGACACTCTCTAACTCACGGTGACAGTCATAGTGCGGAACTTACAACGTGCTTACAACCATTTGATGATTGTTTAGTGTATTTTTAAAAATATTTTGAAGTATACTGATATACTTTGCCCTCATCTTTGCCTTTTAAGCAAAGTGCACTCAGCTTTCATATCAGAGTGGCATGACCTTGAAATTCACACTTTCCCTGCCGGCTTTAAACAGATATCCTTAGAAAGAGCTCTACCTCAAGTGGGTCGAAAGCCGGATCGGTGGCATATACTTGATTGGAGAACCCTGCTAAGCTGGTCTTTGAAATGTCCAAATTGGCGTAGACTTTTAAAATCACTTTTGAGGATTGAGGGGAATATCTTTCATGACAGCAACTCAGTTTTTCAAACATAACCATCCGATTGTGAGGCATTTAAAAATAGTTAACAAAGCGCATGCACAATTTAAAAGAAAGACTCAAATGTCTCAGACCGGGGTGATAAAAGGGCTTTAGAGTGATGTTTCCAACTACAGGCCCAGACAAACTTTAGCCCGATTATGGAATTTATAACATCAAATAAACAAGCTTCTGATCAATACCATTTTTTTACTAATAAAATAATTTATCTACAGTCATTATGGATCTATTCTGACTTAGGAAAATGAATGCAATATACTGGGATGTGAATTAAGTTAGTATCTGATCTTTATATGTACATCAAATAAGCAAAAATCATTTTACCTCTATTATCCCTTTGGAATTTTTTGATGGTTGGTCCATTATCCTGATCAACAATAAGTTCCTCTCTATTGCCGGACATCATAACTGTAAATAAGAGATATAACAGAGTGATTTTCTTACAAATCACTCAAGGGAAAGGCAAAAAAAGCATCAGAGAAATAGCTATTTTACTTCAATAACATCTAACATTAGCCCTGGCTAGTATGGCTCAGTAGTTGACTGCTGGCCTGTGAATCAAAGGACCACTGGTTCGATTCCCAGTCAGGGCACATGCCTGGGTTGCAGGCCAGGTTCCCAGCAGGGGGAGCTCAAAAGAGGCAACCACACATTCATTTTTCTCTCCCTCTCTTTCTCCCTCCTTTACCCTCTCTCTAAAAATAAATAAATAAAATCTGAAAAAACCCAACTAACATTAATTTTATACACTTCTTCTGAAACACAAAAATTTGTGCTTGGATAATTGTGGAATGTGATTGAGAGGCTAGTTACTGGTAGGGGAATTAGAAATGTCTTATATTCTCAAGATATTTTTAGAAAATTATATAATATGTATATAATATTTATATAATTGCCACCATAATTTCTTTAATTAATTTTAAATATATTTTAAAGAAATTAATATGTAAATTATCTTTTTCCCTCTATAATTAATAATCTATTTCCCAAAATGCTTCTGAAGAGAATTTACCACTTAAGTCCATAAATTTAAAATAATTATGCATCATGTCACTATAAAGAGTTTTTGCACATATATAGATAGTAAAATTACTAGATAAAATACAAAATTCTGCCCCCAAATTTTGTATTGAAAGCGGGAAATCATGACAATTTTCATAGTTTAGCATTTAACTTTCTGTAGTTATATTTTATTAAAACATTAAGCCCTGGCTGGCTGCTAAACTTCTTGGCGTAGCTCAATGGATTGAGCGCGGGCTGAGAACCAAAGTGTCGCAGGTTCGATTCCCAGTCAGGGCACATTCCTGGGTTGCAGGCCATGACCCCCAGCAACCGCACATTGATGTTTCTCTCTCTCTATCTCCCTCCCTTCCCTCTCTAAAAATAAATAAATAGAATCTTTAGAAAAGAAAAACATTATATAGCTCTATGTATAAAATAAGGTCAGTTTAAAAATCATCAAAACTTCTTATTCATTTCTAGACAATCTCATTATCTCCTTGGACAATTGTGCAATGTGACAGAGAGCCTAGTTACTGCCAGGGGAATTAGAAATGTCTTATATTGTCAAGCGTTTTTAGAATATTGTATTTTTAGGGAAATATTTGATTTTACTTCTAAGTGTAAGACACCATTATCTTAGATCTGAGTTACTGTCACAGCGTCCATTTCCCTATGTGCTCTGCACTGACCAGGACTCAATAACAAGTTCTCTCCCCTTCCTCTCTTCTTAGATACTCCTCCAAATAAAGTGTCTCCACAGAAGAACATGTGTTTTGCTGTCTTGATTCATCGGTGGTCGCCCAGCTGTACCCGTTTGTCTTGCTCAGACTCTCTCCTGTACGTTGCACACGATGTGTAACGAACAGGTAGTCACTGTCCACAGGACAGTAAAGCTAGAAGACCACCGTCGACCTGTCCAGGAATCAAACTTACTCATTAGGGCCATTAGTCTCCAGTTCTAGCTCAGCAGTCCTTAACTCTGGCTGCACAATAAAAGCAAAACAAAACATGCTGCCAGGCTCTGTGCCAGACCCTTAGTGTGTGCCTGGGCATCCAGATTTGTGAATGCCCCACAGCCGATGCCCAGTGGGGAGCCGGCTTTGAGACACACTGAGCTCGCTAGGACGCTAAAAGCCATAAACAATATGTAATGTTGACAGGATAAGTGAGACCTGGATGAATTTCCAGAAGAGGGAAATCATATTCACCCTTCCGCAGCACAAATTCAGAATCGAACACCTTCCCTGATCCCTCAATTCCTCCCCTCTCACAAAAACCAAAAACAAAACACAACAAAAAACCCAATAACACGACATTAGTTTGAAGAGGCTTGAAGCAATCATTATTGTGAACTGTAAAAATGTATAGTTCAAATAAAGAATGTGCCTATAGTGACACTGAAACAAGAGCAGAACTCATTTTCCCTAAAGGAAATAGATATTTAGGAAACTGGATTGCGTAGGTACAAGAGATTAACAAAGGTTTTACCCAGCTCACGTGGTTGGTAATTATATACTAAATCAGAATTCGTTGCCACTGAATGAATGCACTCAGTAATGTCTGTGTCCCGGAGTGGGATCAGACAGCAGGAGATGATCAACAATCAAGGGAAAGTCACAGAGAAAACTAGTGCTTTTACCTCACATTTCCTCAGCACTTTAAACTTCTGCAGCGGTTTTCCACATGTTATTTCATTTGACCTCACAAAAATCCGGCGTTTTTAGAAGGACAGTAATTATTTTTATATTAGGTGAAGAAACTCACGGTGCTTAAGTGACATACTGGAGATATTCTGGCTAGTTAGTGTCAGAATTATGGCTAGATTCAAGTTTCCAATATGCCACATCCCTTTAACAGTAACGCGGTATTTCTGAAATTGTGTTTATGGTGTAATATGTCTGACACAATAAAAAAACAAGTGTAGGGAAAAGCATCTCAAATGCTTGTGATCCAAAATTTGAGATTGAAACAAATCATACATTGATTCACTTTTTCAACACTCCAATGGTCAACTGCCTAAAGGACATTTGATCTTCCATCTTTAAAGGAGTCGTTGAGTATAACAAGTGTATTGTACCACACTAGCTGTTAAATACCAACATACGACACTAATAAGTACTCTACAAAAAATGCCATCACATTATTCCCCTATCCAGTGATAGCATAAATCAAGGCCCTTCCAGAGAACAAACTGCTAACATTTTAAGTTTCATTTTGTTATTCAAATTGCTTCAGCAATTAAAAAAAAAAAAGACCACTTGCAAAGGCCATGTAGACACTAAAGAGCCACCAGCTCCTCCAGCTTCGTTTCCCCCAGTCTGTTGCCCAAGGAAGGATTCCCTGATTGAGTGGCTTGAAATCCCCCGTTGCAGGGGAGATACTCACCCATCCTGTCTGAATGGGGGTCCATCTGAGAGGGAGAGCTGGACACGCTGCTGCTGGGGTGGGAGGACGTCTGGCTCCCAGGGCGATGGCTCTCCTCCAGAGACGGGGCAGGAGAAGGACTCTCCGGGATCCGCTCCTGACACAGAAGAAAACACAAAAGATTTTCCTAGTGGTCGAACCCAGAGCTTTGGACGCGCCGACCTCTTGCTTATCCTGAAAGAACGCACATCCGCAATACCTGGTGTTAAACACCTATCTGTAGACAAAAGCCTTTTTTGGGGGGGTGAAATGAATGGAATATCGTGAGGGTTAAATGAGAGAAGAAAGGAAAAGAGCTCAACGCCGTGACACATATGTGGCAGAGGCTTATGAAGAGTTAGTTTCCATTTCCTTTCCTAGAATATGCGTAAAGGACTTGCGTAAAGGTGTGTGGTGAACCTGATTGGCATTGTAAGCTTGTACACTGATAAAAAGTTCATGCCAAGATCTGTAGGGCAATCTTACTCTCTAAGTAAGAAGCACACCTCTCAAAGTGAAGTGTTTGAAAACTCTGGAATGAAAGCCACAATTACATGTTTAGTCTCTCCACACAGGCAAAAATATGGATTTAATAGAGCTGCAATCTATCAGAACTTAAGAATTTATGTTAACTTCTTTTTTTTAAATGCTTGATGTGATCTTGGTCTTCTTACATTTTTTTAAAAATATTTTATTTATTTATTTTAGGGAGGGAAGGGAGGGAGGGAGGGAGAGAGGGAGAGACACACACACACAGAGAGAGAGAGAGAGAGAAACATCAATGTGCAGTTGCTGGGGGTTATGGCCTGCAACCCAGGCATGTACCCTTGCTGGGAATCGAACCTGGGACACTTCGGTTCCCAGCCCGTGCTCAATCCACTGAGCTATGTCAGCCAGGGCTTAGAATTTATGTTAACTTCTGTCAAAAAAAATGATTTGAACACAATAATGTGTTTCCCAAACTACCACTAAGACCAATTGTCTTATTGCCGTATCAATTCCTTAGTATGTGTATTGTTTAGATTTTTTAGTTTGAAATAATGAATCTGAATAAAAATAAAATATTTTTATATATGCCTATAGTAACTGTTATGACTTTCAAGAGCTCTGTAATTATGAATATTGGTAGGAAAGTCTGAAGTTGTTCACTATGCTTATGAACCACAAATTGATGAATAAATCTGACTACCATTCAGCTAATCTGATCAATAAAAGAACCAAATTGTGGTGCTTATGCACATAAGCAATAAATGTGATTGGGAGATAGATACACTGGAATGGAGAATGTTTTTTCTAAAAATATTTAATTCACCCACCATAAATTTCTTAAATTAAATATTCTGTCCAATGATCTACAATGACATCAATATGCTAACCCTCATAACATTAAGAATTACTTTGTCAAATATGTGCTTGTACCTTTTCACATTGATTTTGCATGAGTGGCCCCAAATTTATAAATCCCCTAAAGAAAAACTGTTTGTTTAAATCAGAAGTAATAGCATGAGAGTTAAAGGTTATGATTTCATTAGTAGGAGTTAACATTTGGCATAGTCTGTCTTTGTAACAGGCAGAATAAAGGCCCCCCCGACAGACGTCCACTCTGCGTCCTAATAGCTGGAACCTGTGACTATATCACTTCACATGGCAAAGTGAACTTTTCAGATGTGATTGAGAATGTTGAGGTAGAGAAATTACACTGAGTTATCTTGAAAGCACAAAGGGGAGGTCAGAGGGAGATAGGATTATTAAGAGTGATCGTCCCTGGCTGGCATAGCTCAGTGGATGGAGCGCGGGCTGCGAACCAAAACATCGCAGGTTCGATTCCCAGTCAGGGCACATGCCTGGGTTCCAGGCCACGTCCCTAGTGGGGGTCACGTGAGAGGCAACCACACACTGATGTTTCTCTCTCTCTCTCTCTCCCGCCCTTCCCCTCTCTAAAAATAAATAAATAAAATCTTAAAAAAAGAGTGATCGGAGAGATGCAACACTGCGAGCTTTGAGGAAGGGAACCGTGGGCCAAGAAATCCGAGTGGACTCTAGAAGGCAGAAAAGGCAAGAAAACAGATTTTGCCAACACCTTGATTTTAGCTCAGCGATGCCAGTGTCAGACATCTGACCTGCAGAACTGTAAGATGATAAAAGTACATTGTTTTAAGCTGCTAAGTTGGTCGTAATTTGTTACAGAAGCAATAAAAAACCAATATAGTCATCAATGAAGAATGCTCATTTTTAAATGTCTTTATATTATTGCTTAGCATTTACCATTTGATACTTTTCATGAAACAAATAGTAGGTGTTAGGTATATTAGCTGCAGTATTATATACTAATTAAGTCTGATAGAGTTTTCGAGGTTTCAGTCACCCACGGGCAAATGCGGTCCAAAAACATCACATGGAAAATTCCAGAAATGAACAATTCATAGGTTTTAAATTGGATGCCATTCTGAGCAGTGTGATGACATGTCACTGTCTCGTCCTGTCCAGCCTGGGACTTGAATCATGCCTTTGTCCGCTGTATTCATCCCATACAGGGAGCAAAGCATACAAGGGACCTGAATCGCGCCTGTCACTCACCTACGGACGGTCAAGGTACCACGCTGTTGTGTTCAAGAAACTCTTATTTTAGTTAATATTGCCACATTCTCATAACTTTTACCATAGTATATTGTTATAACTGTTCTATATTACTACTAGTTATTGCTATTAATAATCTTACAGTACCTAATTTATCAATTAAGCTTTATCATATGCACGTATGCATAGAAAAAATATATGGTATGCATAGCATCCAGTAGTACCTGCACTTTCAGGCATCCACTGGGGGTCTTGGCACGTAAGCCCCATGGATAAGGGGGGACGGCTATAACTGTAAATGTATGTTACACATTAAAGTCGCTATAACTTGTTATGCTTGAAAAACAAATTTTAAAGATAGAGAATATACATTTCATTTACTCTTAGCATACAGAAAACAATTACTGTGCACACAAGATAATATCAGGAGAGACAGAAACAAAGCAGAAGAAAAGAATTAATTTTTTTTTATTTTTAAAGATTTTATTTATTTATTTTTAGAGAGGGAAGGGAGGGAGAAAGAGAGAGAGAAACATCAGTGTGCAGTTGCTGGGGGGCCATGGCCTGCAACCCAGGCATGTACCCTGACTGGGAATCGAACCTGCGACACTAAGAATTAAGTTGTTTTGAAAAAAATCATATTTGTATTTTGGAGGAACAGTGTGGGTATGAACAGCAAGATACAGACAGCCATTATAACACCTCCTTTTATTTGGTGAAAAGTGTAGCTTGTCAGTTGTGAGATTCAAGCTAAACTGACATGATTAAAAATATATTTTCTAATCCCTGGCTAGTGTGGCTCAGTGGATTGAGGGCCAGCCTGCAAACCAAAGAGTCACTGGTTCGATTCCCAGTCAGGGCACGTGCCTGGGTTATGGGCCAGGTCCCCAGTAGGGGGCGCGTGAGAGACAACCACACATTGATGTTTCTCTCTTTCTCCTTCTCAGCCCCTCTCTCTAAAAATAAAGACAAATAAAAAATCTTTAAAAAATAAGAAATATATTCTCTAAATAGCATGGGTACACACCAGTACACACACCCCCCAAAAGCAAGTAATTTCATATATGAACTCAATTTTTTTTCCTTTCGCTGTTGTGTGTAGTCTCAATTATCCTATGCCTGAACTGTAGGACACTCAGTATTTGTCTTTGAATTACAACATTGGACATTCGTTGAAAAATTATGTAATTCAGTGAACTACATTTATCTCTAATGGACCTGAGTGAGTGCATAGAAACAAAGTACAGCAGTTACTGAGCAAAAATAGAGCAGAACAAACAAAACCAGTGTGTAGGGGCCAACAGGAATCATGCACACAGCAACACATGTGGCCATAACAATGGAAACGTTTGGAGTGATTCATAAACTTGATGGTTTGGAAAAGCAAGAGAATCCAACTGACAGTGATCCTCGCTCTTGCCTACTATGTATAATAAAAAAAGAAAGCTCATTTATCACTTTTGAAACAAATTGGGGGAACATCTACATAAAAAGAAAATTCTATGGATTATGAGAAAAATACAATGCTACAAAGATGATCCCCTAAAATATTTAAAATCAGCATATGGTAAAATAATAGGAAATGCAAACAATTTACTCTTAAACTCCTTGACATTTTCAACAGCATAGTAGATGAAAATATAAACCAACCTTAAGAACATGATTGAGAATGGCAGTAACATTTTGCATGAAGCTACACCTCTGCTTTAAAATTGTGTAGGCTTCCCTTTCCAAATTCAAGCAAGGTTTAGTTCATTGTTATTGTTTCCCTAAGGTATCGCAAAGGTCAGATGTTTTTTCACGTAAACTGTAGTAAATGAGTCCAGCCCCTTTTAATGATTAAGAATTAGATGGGTTTTATAATTCTTTGTGAAACTGGTAATGTGTAACTTCTAAAATAATGAATAGTTCTATGAACGTTTTCTTCTTTACAAGCAAACAAATCCATTTTTCAGCCCCGTAATCAGTGTGCATCTCTTTAGCTACTTAACTGTAATGTGCTTTGGTTCATTAGGTGGGTACTGCTGTGTCTCAGCCTAGTTAAAATTTCACAGCAAGTTAATCTCTTTTATCACAAATGAGAACACAAGTGATCATGTCCTCACCATTTGCCAAATACAGGGTTAACAGTATTTGCCACAAATCAATAACAGAACTTAAAAAGGAAAATTGCAAGTACGGGGATGGGAAAAAGTAGTTTCACAGTTGTTCATATGGAAAATAACATAATAATTAATAAACAATACAAGCACAAACCCTGTTTCGAGTTCTCACAACTGTAAACCTGCACTTGTCAACTGCTATATAAAACCCCAATCAATTGTACTCATCGATGACTTTGTTTTATTTGGCACTTATGACTTTTGCAACCCGGTTACTCTTCGTGTATGTTATTCGCCAGCCCCTGCCCCCACTGAAAACAGCTGTAGCTCATCTGAAACACAGCGGACAATTTTCTCCAGATTCAAAGTAGTGGAGGAGGGAGACTTCCAAAATTAACAAACACTCAATGAAACCCCCGATTTTCCCTGAAATGATTAA